TAACTAAAGATTGTACTCGAAAAAATGCAACACTTTCTTTTGTGCATACCCTTTTATTGCATGAATAAAAATAGATGAAATTTTGAGTAAAACTAGTTTAGAATGGAATGTTAACATGTGCAAAATCTCGTCACAATCTGTCAAGTGTGATGGCTCAAAGCAAGAAGTGCTTCGACAAAAAATTATAGGAGCGGTCGTGGAAAATCCAGGCCAGGTACGCGAAACAGTTTGGAATCGACCATTCGACCGTGTCCCGTGTGGTAAAATCGGTCGAAGAGACCCAGACGGCCCAGCGGCGAGCTGACAGCGGAATAAAAGCGAAGACGACCGACACCGTGAACGCAAGGAAGGTGAGGGATTACTTCAAGCGCAATCCGAAACTTTCGATACGGGACGTGGCCAAGAAGTTCAATTCTTAAGCCTGGTTCGTCCAGCCGACAATGAGCGGGCCGGACTTCATGTCTTCAAGGTAAGGAAGGCGCCTAACCGAACCGATAAACAGAATACGGTGGCCAAATCCCGCGCCAGGAAGCTGTACCGCGAGTGGTTTGGTGCAGCCGAAATGAATCGTAATGGACGACGAAACGTACATTAAAGCGGACGCCAAGCAGATCCCCGGCCTGAAGTTTTTCGTCGACAAGTCCCGCCTGAATATTCCGGAGAAGTGCCTGACGAAGAAGATCGACAAATTTTCCAAGAAGTACTTAGTGTGGCAGGCGATCTGTGGGTGCGGCAAATTCAGCAAGCCGTACATAACGACCGGCACAATCCGTGGCCAAATATATAAAGAAGAATGCCTCCAGAAGTGCCTGCTGTCCTTCCTCCGGTTCCACGAAGGTGACACTCTGTTTTGGCCGGACCTGGAATCGTGCCATTACGCGAAACCGGCGATGTAGTGGTACGAAGCCAACGATGTTGTTTTTGTGCCGAAGGTGGAAAATCCGCCAAACTCGCCAGAACTTCGCCCAATAGAAAAATACTGGGTGATTATGAAGGGCAAGCTCCGGAAAACAGGGAAGGTCTTCAAAAACGACAAGGATTTGAAGAAAGAGTGGATGAAAGTGTGTAAGGAAGATAGTGCAAGTGTTGTACAGGATTTGATAGGTAGCGTTAAGTCCAAGGTGCGGGCATTTAGCCTAGGAAAGGAGGTTGAATAAACCAAGTTTGCAAAAACATAGCTAATATGTGTTTATTTATTCCTTAAGAGTTTCAATAATATTCGACCCAAAATGAATTTTTGGTGATCATTTTTATCTGTTGCATTTTTTTTCCAAATACAGTCTTTAAGATAAAATTTTAAGATTTTGACACATTGAACCATTGTCAGAATAATGTTAATGAGAATGTCAAATGAGTTTTGAGGAGAATTGTAGTCTTCTACAATTCACTCTCTTTTGGAATTCTGAGTACAATTTTAAAGGACTTGGACTAAAAGTTCCAGGTAATTTTGAGAAGCATTCCAAGAAAATTACCAGGAGAGCTAAAGGTGGATTCGAAGGTAGTTTAGAAGATACTTTTATCTGGATTATAAGTAGAATTCCAAGCGACGCTGAAGGAATTTCAACTAACTTCAGAATGATATGGATACAATTCTGACACTATCCTTAATGACGGTTGACATCTCTTTATAGTTAATCAATCAATCATATAATTTTGAGGAGAGCTCAATTTTAAAAGCTATAATAATTCGAAAAGAACTTAAGGAGGGACACTTGTTGGTGGGTTTAAAAAAATCGATTTTTTTTTTGCATTTCGGCCTCCTTTTAGAATGTTTTTTATGCTGTGTATGGAATAGCAGAATGAATGTTAGTCGCTGTTAGCCTTGTGCTGTTTTTCTTGAAACTACCTTTTTTATCTTGCGAGACTTTAAGAGATGAACTAGCCTATGGCTAAAAATCTCTATAATAAAGGAAAAAAAAAAAAAAAATCTTGCGAGACAGGGATCTCGGAGACTATTCGATCAATTTAGCTGATTCTTCTGTTCGCGATGTAAACATTAATAATTATCTAAAGTCTAACATAGGATTTTTTGAATATTTCAACTATGGGTCATTCCAGCTCAAGTCTATGTCACCAATTTGAGCCAAACTTAGCCAAAACGCTTATTTTGGCATTCTGAACAAACGCCTTTTTTATTTTACCTGCTAATCAATCTGATTTCATCGTACTTCTAAAGCACGACGTTTTGGCTGTACCCCATAGGAACGTGTGTTTCACTTTTAGGTCCACAATTAAATTATCGACAGGAGTAAATAAATGAGCTAGTTATGATTTCATATAATGAGAATCCTGCCCAGAACATGTGAAAACTAACATAAAAATATTATTGTTCCATAGGCGTGAAGGAATTCAAGAAAAAATAAAAAAAAATATTAAATAGCATTGATTTTCCACCAGAACTACCACTCAATTCATCTGGTCATATCTCAAAAACTCATATCACTCATCTGGTCATATTTCAAAAACTATTTGTCCAAATCATTTGCCCCAGGCCTGCTGGGATGAGAGGTAATCACGCTTACCACTACACCACCGGCGCCGTTAGGAAACACATTTAGTAGAAGAGTTTTCCAAAGTGTGGTGAAAATATTAAGAAATAAAAATCCCGCTCATGGTGAAAATAGATCATTTTTGACAATCTGGATATCTGCTGGTAATCAGCCTGTTTACTGTAGTTACTATAACAAAAATAAAATGTGAGTAAATCTATAAGAATCTACATTAAAAAAAAACCTTCAAATTGACGTTCTATTATCACGAATAGTCTATTTGGCTGTGGAGTAATCTCTTCTGAAAGTTGAAGTTTTTAAACATCTCGAAAATCCAGGGTTGTAGCCCAGAAGGATCTAGACACTTTAGAGTAAAAAAAAAGCGTGTGTGCAGAAAGTCAAAATAAGCGTTTTGGCTAAGTTTGGCTCAAATCGGTGACATCGACCACAACTTTTTAAAATTATGTACCCACTTGAGCTGGAATGACCCATATATGAATTGAATAGCGGCGGAAAAAATTAAAATTCATTTTCTGGTTTGTTTACATTTTGGACCCATTTCAAATGTTACGCGAGATGGGCGGAGAGAATGTTTTGAGCCAAATGAGCCAATTGAACATTCGCATTAGAATTTTTCCGAGGATTTATTATTCTTACTACATGAAATTTGAGAGTATTGCAATCCAATAGAAATGCAATCACCTTTATGTTTCGTGTGCTTCTCAAATTCAACTAGTTTTTGGAATCAAAACAATATTCTAACGCTATTGATTAATTTATTTTAGTCGGTTAATTAATGGCACCAAGAGATGTGCAAAATATTATGATGCACTCAATTAATGTTTTACACGTAAATCGAATCAAAAGTAAAAGTCATGTGAAATGCCATCTTCTAGGGTTGCAAGATAATTTAGGTACAAATCCCTTCTGCCGAATTGTATTTTGTTTTCTCCGCCTATCTCTCCCTCTAAATATTTCTAGTTGTCATACCTCGGTCAGTTTTACCGCTGTCAGTTTCCCCAAAAAAAATGTCAAAATCATGTGAATTACGGTGCATCTATGTGGTTGACAGGGATAGATGCACATAGATGGGCCTATTCTGCGCGTCGTGTGAGGTGAGATGACCGTGAAGCTCGCCACGAAGTGAAAATTGTCACCTCGGGTAAGGTGACTTTTCATTTGATTTGCACGGACAGTCATCTCACCCGAGGTGACAATTCTAGGGCAATGTTCTATGTGCCGAATGAAAACAATGGCTTTAAACGTCGATTGCTCATGAATCACAACACGTTCACGCAAACCACGACAAATCAGGGGCCTGGCTGGCGGCCATGTTTTTGATGCTATCATCTGCTCTTGTCTTCCTGCTTATAACACGATTTCCCGTTCCTTTCCACCATGTATACGTCAGGCGGGCCGTATTTAAATAAGGCCCGTGATGTTGCCTACTGTCAAACGTATAGGATTGATACAGGGTTGCCAGCCCCCTGCGACAAATCGATGTTTAAAGCCATTGTTTACATTTGAAACATAGGCCCTTTTCACATGTTGCTCTAGAATTGTCACTTCACAAGTGACAGCGTGTCACCTCACCTCACTCGCCACGCAGAATAGGCCAGAGTCCCCCTGGGTTGGTACAAGGTTCAATTTACTTTGATGCTTTTTTCGAAAACTTCAAGAGCAGTTTTTACGCTTCTGACGTCATCTGCATGGATAGCCAGCAAAAGTACGACTTGCGGTACTTAATTTTTCGGGTAATTTTTCTTGCCGGCATGCAAGAATTCGTATTTTGTTTTGATAATATTTAATCGTGATGGTATTTAATACCGGTTTCGAGAACATCAGATGCACTGAATTTTGATCCTCATAGTTCGTTCACCTCCCAGTGTGCGAATGATATCATATCGTAATTCACCAATACACTAGCACCGAGGAAATGCACTAACCACTCACACATCTTCGACCATCCAGCAGGCACCAGGCGGCGTGAGAACCGTTCAATAAAATTTGCTCAACCAAGGGAAAGTGGTTCCTTTGCGGCGTCAAACTTCTCACCATTTGCCGGGATCGGGTTTCACTAACTTCAACAGAAAATGCCACTAAATTTCCACTTTACGCAAACCGGAAAACTACCTCTCTGTCAAACAGTGTACAGCCGCAGAAAATATAAATGCCGAAATCGCGAGTTTGCAGGGAATGTGGCCCCGGGCGTGTTTGCACACTTTCGCACAAAACTCCAAACTTTCGCAAAGTGACAGATCTATACGTCTTCCAAGGTGTTCCCTCTCTATGCGATGGGCTGCATTCTCTCTTATGCTCCCATTCTCTCGCGAGCTCTTCCAATGAAAAGCCGGCAATTTTATAGCACGAGAGAATGGGAGCGCACATTGTGGCATTTTTCTCTCGTAAAAACATGCATGCGAGTGACATCTGAATTTGAAATAAAATAAAGTGTTGAAATAAAAAAAAAATAAAACGGAAATTATTTTATTTACGAAATCTTATTATTTAAGTAAAAACTACACAATGCCAACACTTTGAAGATTTCGTGCCAGTATGATATTGTGTACGTCGTTGAACACCATCCGCACATTATTTGTGTCCGTTGCAACCGTGAAGTGATAGTAACATGATCGTTTCCCTCGTGCCAGGAGTGACGTCCTTCGAGGGGGTTCGTTTGCGATGTCCTGTAAGCAGAATGAAACGAAAGATTTAATGTGAGATGAGAATATTTAACATGATAATAAAGCTGTTCAGTACGATTTTATAAAGCTGCATAAAAACAGTACAATGAAATTAGTTGTAATGTGAGTCGCAAGAGCCTTTTCCTAATAATAAGCACACTTGAGGTGATTCCTTATAGTACAGAGAACAGACGTCCAAGTTCGGCTAGAAACTTGCACAGAGAACAGACGTTCAAGCTCGGTCAGAAACTTGTGTAAAATAAGTGGGAACGTCGCCGTTACGTGGTGTTAGCATCTCCTGATTTTCTCTATAAATTTTCCACTTTCGACCAATTTGGCGCTAGTATCGATAAATTTTCTGTTGAAAATTGCCACTTGGCGCTACTAGCACTTAGTGTCTAGTGTAATTTGTGCAACGCCAGCGCCATCATGTTGTCAAAGAGGGTTTTTAAGTGGGGAAGTCGCCGTTAGTGGCGCTTGAGTCGAATAGGAATCTTTACACAAGTTTAAAGAGAAATTTTGTTCGAGCCTCCATGTCTGTTCTCTGTGATTTGGGCGTAATTGTATTTGTAAACAAACACGTCAATCGCTGATTTCTCGCGAATAAAAGCTCAATTTTGAAAACTAATAACACTATGAGGTAGAGGTATGATTCCTCTATCATTTGGTATGGTTTGATTATTGATGAATCTACGCGAAACTGCACCAGTGCATGCGACACCTAGGTTCTAAATCCAAAACCACAAAAGTGATGATGTACTAAAAAATATTCCATACGATTTGACAGGTAGCAAAACGTCATTTTCATTTTATCATCATTTCCATCTGCTGGTCGACCTTAACGTAGATTCATCAATAAGATTGAGCTTTTATTCACGAGAAATCGGCGATTGACCTGCTTGTTTACAAATACGCCCAAACCTCAAATCACTCCGGATATGTTTTTAGTGAAATTTTATTCGAGCCTCAACCACAGAGAACAGACGTCCAACTTCCACCAGAAACTTGTGTAAGATAAGTGGGTACGTCACCGTTACGTAGCGCTAGCATCTCCTGATTTACTCTATAAATTTTCCACTTTCGACCAATTTGGTGCTAGTATCGATAAAGTTTCGGTTGAAAATTACCACTCGGCGCTACCGGCACTTAGTGTCCAGTGTAAGTTGTGCAACGCCAGTGCCACCGTGTTGTCAAAGAGGGTTTTTAAGTGGGGAAGTCGGCGTTGGTGGCGCATAAGTCGAATAGGAATCTTTACACAAGTTTTTATGGAAATTTAGTTCGAGGCTCAACGTCTGTTTTCTGTGCCTCAACGTCTGTTCTCTTTGCTTATAGCGTCCTTTTTCGCATTAAACTTTGCAATTTCTGAAGTCAAAATATTAAGGATTTTTTTTAATGCACGTACCTGTAACTACTAGGTACTTGTTGTTTGCTGCGGAGAAGCAAGAAATGTCTGAAATTTACAGATTTATAAACCCCATAAATTCTGAGATATATATGCTCTTGAAATTGCGAAGCATGATCATAATAAGGACTCTAGCAGAAAACACCTTAACTTGACTTGAATATTCATTAGCAATGGACCTGGAATTCTCGTCACAATCATCATGAATATTCCTACATAACTATCTGCAAATTCTACTCTGAACTCACACAATTTACTACGAATTCTGGTCAAAACATTTTTAGAGGTCTCCGCGGAGCACGATCTTAAAATCCCAGGCTCACATAATGAACGCAAATTAGACATTAATTTCTTTAATTTATTTTTTTTTCTTCTAATTAGTATAGTCACAAAGAACAGACGTCCAACTTCCACCAAAAACTTGTGAAAATATAAGTGGGAACTTCAAGGTTACCTAGCGCTAGCATCTCCTGATTTTCCCTATAAATTTTGCACTATCGACCGATTTGGCGCTGGTATCGATAAATATTCGGTTGAAAATTACCACTCGGCGCAACACTGAACCAATATGACATATTCCTGTTATGTGGAAGCAAATATATCATATTGACAATATGATCCATTCATGCCTTTTCCAAATGTTGCAATGGCGACCCGCAAAATATTGCTTCACGCACCATCTAGCGTTTAAAAAGGTCAGCAACAATAAATCAATTACAATCGAGGGGTGCGAATATAGCATTTATTACAAAAGTAAGAGTCATGACATGTCACTGTCATGTCACTGTCATCAAATAAAATAAAATGCTGAAATACATTCATTTGAAATATTGAACAAATTTTCATTTGGTTTACCCCTCGTGACGATAAACAAATACATTGGTAGCCTTTTTTGGCCACAGAGGTGCTTTCATCGCTAAAAATTCGGTTCGCCAGCTAAGCGAAAGAGTGGATCATATTGTTAATATAATATATTTGGTGGAAGTCTAATAAATTTGCGCTATATGATAATCAAATGAAAATGATATGATTGAAAATGTGTCAGGTAAATTCTCTATGAATATCTGATACATTTACAATGCTGATAATTTGGTAACTTTTATATGATCGTCATATGATAAATGAAAATCAGTCAAATTATAATAATTATCTGAAATGGATTTGAAACCCATAAGCATAAGCTTTACTTTTCACCACAATATAATATATGTGTCATAAATCAATCGAAGTAAAGTTTATGTGAAAATCACATGAAATTTACTGCTTCTTTTGACACATATACTTAATCGATTTCCAAAAATAAATCGAAAAATAAAAACATCAGACAGTTGTATCATTTTTTATTATAGCTGATTTGGGATTCGATCACAGAGAACAGACGTCCAAGCTCGGTCAGAAACTTGTGTAAAGTTAAGTGGAAACGTCGCCGTTACGTAGCGCTAGCATCTCCTGATTTTCTCTATAAATTTATCACTTTTGACCAATTTGGCGCTAGTATCGATAAATTATCTGTTGAAAATTGCCACTTGGCGCTACCAGCACTTAGTGTCTAGTAAAATTTTTGCAACACCAACGCCATCATGTTGTCAAAGAGGTTTTTAAGTGGGGAAGTCGCCATTAGTGTCTCTAAGTCAAATAGGAATCTTTACACAAGTTTTTATGGAAATTTTGTTCGAGCCTCAACGTCTGTTCTCTGTGATTCGATCAAGAACTGTTGAGGTGTGATGCTTTCGGTGTCTGCGCTCGATTTCACTGGGCCACGGCTGACTTCAAGATTGAGCTCGTTCAATTAGCATGAAGTAAGAACAGCTCTCCCGACATGGAATGTAGTGCAACGGTTATGCTCGGTTTGCTAGAGTGAAGAAAAATAGCACTGACAAATTTATGCTCCGTTTCGGTGGTGTCGTGTATTCAAATCTTTCTTAATGCTCATGTGTGCAATAAAACAACGACTATATTATATGAGTTCATGGAACTGGTTCATGAAGTTCGAGTACTAGTGCTGGAATCTGAATTAGCCGTGCACACTAAGATATTGTTTCCGTGTTCGGTAAATTTTACCGAAATCATAACAACTGAACATTCGGTAAAACTTTGATCTTTATTTTAAACGAGGGGGACGACACTATCTAGGATGCAGGAAATATTGTGTTTCGCTGTGGCTATAGCTGCGCGGACGTTAAGTAGATGGAAAAAAGATTTATCACGATTTTGAAGATTTCCTGCAAAAAGATGATGCACGATGCAAGTAGATGCGCGAAATGAAAGAAGATTTTTCGAAGATTTATTCGCTAGTGTGAGATTTTTTGAGCATCTAGAATTGAGATTTAGATGTGTCGCCCCCCTCGATTTTAAAGGCAATTGAATTTGAAAATAGTTTCAAAACATGTTCACTTAAGGCAGGCGCACAATAGATACGTTTTCGGGTTTTTTGACAGATAATGCATGGGCTAACTGCCAAAAAACCTGAAAACGTATCTATTGTGCGCCGGCCTTTACCTTACCAATCAGGCCAAGGCCTTCAGGTCCTCTGCTGTCCGAAGAAGTCGTCTCCACTCTACTCGATCCATGGCCACCATTTTCACTGGGTCATCGTGCGGCATTCTTACGACGTGCCCAGTCCACCGTAGTCGCCCAATTTTTGCAATGTGGACGATGGATGGTTCTCCCAGCAGCTGGTGCAATTCGTGGTTCATTCGCCTCCTCCACGTTCCGTCATCCATCTGCACTCCACCGTAGATGGTACGCAACACCTTCCGTTCGAAAACACCAAGGGCGCATTGATCCTCCACGAGCATAGTCCAGGTCTCGTGGCCGTAGAGGACCACCGGTCTAATCAGCGTCTTGTAGACAGTCAACTTCGTGCGGCGGCGAATTTTATTCGACCGGAGCGTCCTCCGGAGTCCAAAGTAGGCACGATTCCCTGCCATAATGCGTCTTTGAATTTCTCTGCTGGTATCATTTTGGGCGGTCACCAGTGAGCCCAAATACAAGAAATCATCGACCACCTCGATTTCGTCACCGTCAATCTGAACTCGGGGTGGGAGGCTAACATTTTCTTCCCTAGAACCTCTTCCTTTCATGTATTTTGTTTTTGTTGCGTTGATGGCAAGTCCAATCCGTCTAGCTTCAGCCTTCAGTCTGATGTACGTTTCCACCATCATCTCAAAGTTCCGTGCCATAATGTCAATGTCATCGGCGAAGCCAAGGAGCTGGATGGAATATCTGAATATCGTGCCACTCGTGTCTATCTCAGCTCTTCTGATCACACCTCCTAACGCGATGTTGAACAGCAGACACTAAAGTCCATCACCTTGCCGTAACCCCCTTCGAGATTCAAAGGGACTCGAGAGTGTCCCCGATACTCGAACAACGCACATCACTGGATCCATCGTCGCCTTGACCAATCGCGTCAGTTTATCCGGAAATCCGTACTCGTGCACAGCGAATCCAAAGACATAAAGCAACCAACGATACAGACAAAACGGTTGCTACGACTACCATGACAAACTCGCTCTGTAACATAGCTCGATCCGAGTGGTAGAAGGATAATGATATATTGCTTGCCTACTTTGTTGCAATAAACACGGATGAGGACATA